GCCTAGTTTTTCTTCTTTCTGGTATGTGCGCTAAGCCTTCCATGACAAGGCACAAAACTTTTCTTGAGCAACAACAGCTACAGTTATGTCACAGGGTGTGGTGGTCAGTAATCAGACGGTCCAAAGTTGGAGTTAACACTTGATGAGCAAAAACACAATCTCCACAGACTCTTCTGAGTGTCAGGCCTAATGAGCAGCAACATATTCCCAGTGAGTCTTCTTCCAGGAAATCAGTTGCCAAGTCTAAAGGTCCCCACCTTCCCACAGCGGTCTATGTCTTCTCCTCTCCAGGGCTTTCCCCAAGCAATTGGAGACTATGTGTCTGTGTACAGCCAAACTCTCCTTGACCTTTTCATGCCTCTCCTGGTTCTGGGAGGGAGCTTGTCACAGCAGCAGGAGGAAACAACCATGACTTTTCACCAGCCTGACTTATCTCTGCCTCTAATTTCAATTTGACCTCACTAACTTTAGCTTCCATGGACTGCAAGAAGATAAAACCTATCCATTCTGACGGAAATCAGCCCTGAGTGCTCACTGGAAGGACAGATCCTGAAGCTGAGACTCCAATACTTTGGCCCTGATGTTGGGAAGGATGGAGGGCACAAGGAGAAGGGGACGACAGAGGACGAGATGGTTGATAGTGTTCTCGAAGCTATCAGCATGAGTTTGACCAAACTGCGGGAGGCAGTGGAAGACAGGAGTGCCTGGCGTGCTCTGATCCATGGGGTCACGAAGAGTCGGACACAACTAAACGACTAAACAACAACAACAGCTTCCAATTCTTGACCTCTCTGCCACAGATTCTCCCTGTTCACTAAGCCCTGCTTCTGCTTCTGCTTCTGCTTCTGACACATCCTCTTTCCAGTCTTCTCCCTCTGACCTCTCATCACTGTCCCACCATCACTCACTGGGCTCTGAGCTTTCTTGCCTTGGTGTTTCCACAGCTGGTTCCTCCCACCATTCCTTTGTGTCCAACCAGCCCACGACAAGTTGAGGGAAAGAAAGTATCAGTTTGCCTGGTTGCAAACCATGCATTCAAAGACAGATTTTAATGGGACACTTTCTTTCTGGATTACATCCTGGAGTACAACCTCCAGCGTAGGTTGAGGTTATAGATTCAATAACAACAGCAATTGAGAAAGCAATGCAGCAATGCAGAAGGGTAGCATAGACGTTTTAGAAATAAACAAGTAACAAAATGTCCATGAGTTCACTTTCTCTCTATAGAGTTTTTAAGAAGACAGCTTGATTCGATTATAAAACCAGAAGACTGACTCAACCCACAAAGAAGGAAGTGATGCCATGCCAACTTAGTTCCTGAAACATACTGTAGCTCTGTTTCATTTTTACATTTCCCTGATCTCTCTATAGCAGGGGTCAGCAAACTTTTTCAGCAGAGGGCAGGTCCACTGTCCCTCAGACCTTGTGGGGGGCTAGACTATTTTTTTTTTTAAAAAAGGGAACGAATTCCTACGCCCCACAAATAACCCAGAGATGCATTTTAAATAAAAGCACACATTCTACTCATGTAAAAACATCAGGCAGGCCCCACAAATAACCCAGAGGTGCATTTTAAATAAAAGGACACATTCTACTCATGTAAAAACATGCTAATTCCCGAACAGTCCATGGGCCGGATTTAGAAGGCGATTGGGCCGGATTCGGCCCCCGGGCGTTAGTTTGCCTACCCATGCTGTATAGAGCCTGAACTGAACACACACTAAAACCTAACTCCCACCCTATTAATCAACTTCAGTTTGATTAGGGTCAATGATCACAATGAGCATAAATGTAATGAACATACAAAGGCAATAAATTTATTTCAGAGGCTATGGAAAATGAACTTGCTCATGTGAACTTCCAAGTACCTGAAGTCTTTTAAAAACCAGGTTGATTGCTTACACATTCAATCTCACTTAAAAAAATATTGTGTTGACATTTACCAAGACTTACGTTTGACACAGATAAACTACAAGACTTCCTGAACACCAATGATAGTTGCTTATATAATTTTGCTACATTTCAACAAATAACGGTACTTGACCTTAGCATAATACAAATGGCAATAGATACAATCACATGTCTATTGACTTTTGCCTTGTTAGAATTTGAAACAAAGATGATAAATAATTCACACACTATCCCTTTGATAAATCTGAACAGCTCCTAATACCCAGTCTCTTCTGATTCCATGCATCACCGGCAAATATCACACACATCAGTTGTTTGTGGTCTTTGCTCCGTTTTATTTCCGTTGACAACTTAGGCAGAAGTAAACGGTTTCATGATTGCAAGGAAGACTCGTGTCAATTACGTAGACAGACCTGCACTATAATTTAGAAGAGTTAAATGCCAGGTTCGTTTTACAAAGTAGAAGGAGAAGATTGGAGTAACATTTTTTTGTGTACTAAACTAAAAAAAGCAATTTTTGTGACAATTTTATGGGAAAGAAACATTTGTAACTAAGGCTGGAAAGTTGTAAACCACAGTTAAGGGAAAGCAAAAGCTTCCAAATTCCTCTTCTTAGGCATGTGGGAAGCCACAAGGAGGAGAAGGAATAGCTTACAAGCACAGGAAGAGGCTAGGCTCATTTATGTAATGTTAAACAAGGATTTAGCCGTACATCTGAATGCGGCCTCTGCCTATTTATGAGGGTATAGTGAATGTGCCTCAGAGGTTGTTCTGGAGTGGTACTCTGCTAGTTTCTCTTTTGTGGCACCTGGATGAGTCCCTCTTTGTATCACCTTTGATGGCAGCAAATGGAATTTTAACATGGAGTATAATTGGTTATGGTTGATAGATGCGACCTTCAGTTGGTACTGTTTTGTCTCTTTGGTGAGTCATAGTTTTTACGCAGCTTTAATAGACTGTTTTGTCATTGTTCTGTTCATTTGCTCTTCATTAATCATATGTCACCTGCAGCAGCCAGGGTTGAATCCACACAGGCAGAGCAATCCTAGCTCCAGCAGTCTTGCCTCTCATGGTTGACAGCAAAGGAAAGTGGGAAGGGAATGCGGGTTGTGGGGGTAGGCAGTGCCAGGCTGGCCCAGATCAGACCCAGTGCCAAATGGCATTAGGCTGGCATATAAGGGTTTGGACTGCAGCCTAAGTCATGCTTAGAACAAGCCCATTGAAATGGACTTCACACTTGGTAATCCTTAAACCAGACCCTTTGAAATCAGTGGAGCCTAAATTAGTCGCTTTGGTTTCAATGGGTTCACTCTTAAGCATGACTTAGGCTGCAATCCAACTCCCAGGTTGTTTGAAAAGACAGTTGATTAAAAATATATAACTTAATAAATAAGCAAACAGCCCTCTTATGTTTTATCTGTGAGAGACAGTTAACTACTTTCCCCCTTACAGACTGAGAATACAATTTTCTTACTCATCATGCCTTTTCTCTCATGCTTTGGCAGTCAAATTAAGGCATGGCTAAACTGGGAAAGCAGAACCACTTCTTCTTGATGTTGATGCCAGCCGTGAGGTCCAAGCGAGACACAGGGGGTGGCTTTTAACACAGCAACCCAAGAGATTGAGTTCCCCGCTGGACCTAGAGTGGAATGCTGGCTCCATCAGTACAGCAAACTGCGTCTTTCTTCTATTGTCAGTTCCTGTATGTTGCATCTTTGTTAAACTTACTTCCATGTCCTTTTCCAGAACAGGACAGCTTAGATTTAACAAAGTACACATTTTATTGCTTTATTTACTGATACAGTTATTTAAAAGAGCAGCAGAGGGTTTGTGACTAACATAAATCTTTTTTTATTTCAATGGGACTTGCAGCCTGTGTATACACCATACATTTAGAGCACGTTTTCCTCCAAAAATCCTGGAAATTGGAGCCAAGGGTGCTGGGAATTATAGCTCTGTGAGGGGTAAACTACAGTTTCCTCGATTCTAGGGGGGTGGGAGGTGTGCTTTAAATGGAGCCATAGGTCTGCGGCCCATCTACTCAGAAGTAAGTCCCATTGGATTCAGTGGGGCTTACTCCCAGGGAGGTGGGTTTAGGAGGACTACAGCCTTGGTCGAGACTTTTGCTGGATTGTTACCCTCAACTTATATATCCTAGCAGTATTTTAAAGAATTGCCTTTCGCACGGGGAGAAAGGTGGCGCTATTTGAGTATTTCCAGATCATCTGTTGCAAAAAACAAACACACACAACCATGCCTTTAGGTCTCATTTATCCTCCCAGCTTATTCTTCCGTCTTTTCTGACTCACATTTCTCTGGAAAAGTGACAAATGATCACTGAACTTTCAACTCCCAGACAAAAATAATAAAAGCAACAACCAAAGAGTCCGGAACAACACTGCATTCTTTCCCAAGCCCATCAAAACGCCCATGGCCGTCAGTTTTCTTTGCGGATGTTCCGTTCAAATCTCAGATCAGCCTTTTGGAAGCAGGGAGGGGAGCGAGGCGAGCACGGGGCAGAGAATAACGGCGAGGTCTTTCAACTCAGGATTAGAAAGAAGACTCCCCCCCCCCGCAGGCACAGGACACTATCAGACCCAGCTGAACGGTGCAAGCCAAAGAACTCCGCGGAACGGCCTGCAAAGGAGCTGGAAAGAATAGCGGAGCCAAACTTTCCGAGTTCACTTTCTGCTGCCTGCGCCACTGTCCAAGCTGTTGACACGCCGCTTTAAAAACAAAAAAAGGGTGAATCAAAGGGCAGCCAATGAAACGGGAACCCACCCTTTCCTCTCTCTCTCTCTTTGGGGAGAGACTTTTAAGACGTGATTCAACTCTCCCTGTTGCAAAGCAAGCTCTGTCGCCTTAGCTCGAAAGTGCTGTAGTTGAGACGCGCTTCCTCCGCCGTCTCATTCCAAGTCTATTTCAAGCCCGCCTCTCCCCTGGGATCTGTAGCTTGCTGGGAATTGCAGCTCGGCGTGGGGTAAAACTACAGTTCCCAACATTCTTTTTCCCGGAGGGGGGCGCTTTAAATGCACGGGATGTACACGTGTAGACACACACACACGCGCACAAAAATCCTCCTTACTCACCCATCTCCCCATCTTCTTCTTCCTCCCCCTCTTCTTCCTCGTCATCTTCCTCCAGCTCCAGCAACACACCCTCCTTCTCCGCATTCATCTCCCCAGAAGTCCGTCGCTGCTGCTGCTGCTGCATTCCTCCTTTCCTGCAGATAATATGGAATAATCTCCAGGAGGAGGAAAGCAGCCCCGGGGCTCCCGCGACCAGAGAGCCCGCCTTCCCCTCTCCGAGAGCCGCGGGGAAAGGAGAAAGGCGGGGCGGCCTGAGCCAGAGCAGCGGGCTGGGCTGAAGGCGCGCCGCCCTCTTGGCAGCCCGCCCGGACTGAGCGAAAGAGGCGGGAAAGCGAGAGGGGAGTTTCCTCCGGTTGCCATAGAGACGGGGCTGGGGTGACGGGGCTTCCCCCCACGTCCCGCTTTTTCCTTCAGGGGCGCGTGGTTCCCCTCAAGTTACCTCAGCCAGGGGGCTCGTCGAGCCCGAAGCAGCAGCCAGCAACCCGCTCGAAAGGGGTGGCTCTCGCTCTCTTCCCAATAGGACCTTTTCAAAAAAATAAATAAATTAAAATTTAACTTTATTGAATAATGCAATCAAATTTCCAGACATCTCTGCAAAAACACAATTATTTACATATTTGCCACACATAAACTGTGAAAGAAGATAAAGAGTAAGAAGAAACGAAAAAAGAAAAGGAAAAGCAAAGGAAAAGAAAGAAAGAAGAAAGAAAGAAGAAAGAAAGAAAGAAAATGCTGCTTTCCATAAGCAGTAATTCCAAAATTACACTTGCACACATTATAAAATACAAATCTTAATTAAAATATCTTAAAAGACTTCCACCGCCTAAACCACACTTTTTTTTGTTATTTAATTCTCCTTTACCTCTGCTCTTCACTTCCATCCCTTTAGATCCCTTAGGATCTTCCATAATCCATTAAATTCCCTATATTCTTTATAGTCCAATAGGACCTTTCGCAGAACTGTCGACTTGGAAGGGACCCTGAGGATCAGAGTCAGGGTTTCCCAACCTTGGGTCGCCAGCTGTTTTGGGGAACTACAATTCCCATCTCCCTGACAGCAGGTCCCACTGGCTAGGGATGATGGGAGTTGTAGTCCAACAGCAGCTGGAGACCCAAAATCGGGGAACCCCTGGATTCTCGTCCAACTCACTGCAATGCAGGAAAAGGCACCCCCAAATATAAGTATACCTCAGGATCACTATTTGGAACATCCACCCCACTATTACACAAAACGTGCTAATAAACATATGAATACCATGCTGTGTGTTACATGCTGCTTGCTTTGGCAGGGGGTAGACGTTGCAGGAGGCAAAATGTGTCCAGCCTCCACCCTGAAAATGTAACATTAGATTCTAGAGAGTCTATAGAACAGAACAGGTGAACTCCAGGGAATGGCGACTTCAGCAAGTCATGGTAGCAAAAATTAAGCAACAAAGGGACATAAGGACTGATTGTGAATTCTGCTGAGTTCACAGAAAATCAAAAGAGCATTTTTGTTAATCGTTTTCCAGTGGATAAAGCATGATTTCCAAGAGACTGATGAAAAAAACATTCCTGTGACTGGGCCACATTTCCCAGTGTCAGAAACTGATTCCCAGTATTTTCATTGGCACTGCAGCAACGTATTAGAGGAAATTAAAATGACTGTGTATAGAAAAACGTTGTGAAGCAGCCATAACCCAATTTAGCATTGTTTCCAGTTGTGTATAACCCTCCAAGGACTTGTTAATTTTCATGCCTCTGTGCAAGTTCTAGAATGAAATGACGACAGTCTCTTTTGCCCTCTACTGAACTGAACTGGTAATAACAACTGACGATAAAATTTGCTGCTGATCATATAGGGAGAATGCTGAACCAACACGTACTGTAAAGGTGCATTGCAGGATTTATGCTTTCATCATGTGTGTGTGCGTGTGTGTGTGTACATCCTATACTTCCAGGTGCATGCTAACACAGCCACAGGGCCAACCCAATGTATTTTGTAGCCTGAGGTGGAGAACAAGACCACACCCTGCAAACCCATCAACAGAAACAGACTAAACTGGCAGCTGACTCTTAGTTCAGCACTGGTGGCAGGACAGCAACCTTACTGCACCTAAAGTTAGCGAGGGGTTGCAAGGCACACACTGCTCTGTCCTCTACCACCTTCCTGCCTCTGCCTGCCTCCCAGCATCCTCCATCTGAAGCAGCTGTCTCACCATGCCTAGCAGCAGAGCCGGCCCTATGCAGCCAACTAAGAACCTTTTCTGACACTGCACTGGAGCAATGTCCTCAAACCCAAGAAGCACCCGACATCCACTTAAAATACTGACCTTCTAAATAAATGCAATCATTTTTTACAGATAATAGGCCTTGCAGAGTCACACCCATCTAACCCAGGGAACACCTAACCCAGATCCGGCCCTGAAATAAACTGGGGGGGGGATAATGCTTAATTAGGGGTTGGTTGTTAACTAATTAAACATATAGTCAGGCAGGAGAAGGAGGAGGTGATGTGGGCAGATGATCACCACCCAGTGGCGTAGTGTGGGGGGTGCAGGGGGTGCCGGCCGCACCGGGCGCAACATCTGGGGTTAGGGCAAATCCACAGGTTAGGGGGCGCAAATCCACGGGTTAGGGGGCGCAAATCCACGGGTTAGGGGGCGCAAATCCATGGGTTAGGGGGCGCAAATTACTTGCCTTGCCCCGGGTGCTGACAACCCACGCTACGCCACTGTCACCACCAACAGAGTTTTAATCCTGTGGGGTGCTGCTTAGCAAGGAAAGGTGCTTGGGAAGCAACACCCTGCAGAACTGAATTCTGAGGGCCAAAGTATGTGCTCCTTCACAAGCACCTTCATGTAGCTTGAAGTGCTGGTATGCCAGTCAAAGCCCCACAGGCCCCCGACACAACAGGTACTGCACAATGTGAAAGGAACATTAGAAAATGGGTAAGGTAAAGTTAAAGGTGAGGGACATGGGTGGCGCTGTGGTTTAAACCACTGTGCTGCTTGGACTTGCCGATCGGAAGGTCAGAGGTTCGAGGCCCCGAGATGGGGTGAGCCCCCATTGTTCGGTCCTAGTTCCTGCCAACCTAGCAGTTTGAAAGCACGCAGTGCAAGTAGATAAATAGGTACCACTCCGACGGGAAGGTAAACGGCATTTCCATGCGCTGCCCTGGCTTCACCAGAAGTGGTTTAGTCATGCTGGCCACATGACCTGGAAAAACTGTCTGCAGAAGTGGACAAACGCCGGCTCCCCCAGGCTGTAAAGTGAGATGAGCGCCACAACTTCAAAATCATTCTTGACTGGACTTAACTGTCAGGGGTCCCTTTACTTTTACCTTTTTAAAAGCACTTTCAGGCTGAGGGAGCCGGTGTTTGTCCACAGACAGCTTTCTGGGTCATGTGGCCAGCAGGATTAAACTGCTTCTGGTGCAACAGAACACCATGACGAAACCAGAGCACACAGAAACACTATTTACTTTCCTGTCACAGTGGTACCCATTTATCTACTTGCACTGGCATGCTTTCAACTGCTAGTTTGGCAGGAGCTGGGACAGAGTAAAAGGAGCTCACCCCATCACTGGGATTCGAACTACTGACCTTCTGATCGGCAAGCCCAAGAGGCTCAGTAGTTTAGACCACAGCACCACCCATGTACCTATTAGAAAATGGAACAGCAGAACTAGCAGCACAACAGGGAAACTAATGCAGTATGTCCCATGTCTAAATGCAATCCAGTCAGATTGGCAGGATATAAATAATACAATTATTATTAGTAGTATTAAATGTAAAAAATTGAGGTTCACTTAAAGAAACTGTGCCCCCAGCAACTTTGTCACTAACCTGTAATAGACAGAACTGTGAAAAGCTGGGATATAAATATTGTGAATCAATAGAACCATCCTGCCAGGACGTTGACCTGAACATTTCAACTTTTGGGTGGTTGCTGCAGCCTTGTTTCACCTGAGTGCAAATGTGTTTCCTCTGCCTTGCGTTTAACTTTTGTCACCGTTCTTCCCTTTGGCTATCAGCCAGCGAATCACCTAGGAAACCCAAGGACTGGTTGCCATGGGCACTCTGCTAAGCATCTGTTCCCTTCCTTGCATAGCACATCAGCACAGGAGGGGAAGGAGGGTTTTTCCAAAGGATCGTGGTAGTGAAAGGATAGGTCTTGTCCTCATTTAGCCCACTCAAGTTTCTGCAAAACTGGCAGCGTCGTCGTCACACAACAAACACGTACGCCATAGAACTCGTTGTGCTGCGACAACGGAGTTATAGGAATGTTTTGACCTTACATAACTAGATGAGGCGCTGCCCATAGTTCAGTACAAACTGCTAACAGTGAGCCAAAGAGAGAAAAACTGGGAAATCCTGTTCCTTTCTACATACTGATGATTACACAGCTAGTAGTATAGACAAGGCCCATGTAAGCAAGTCTGCCTTTCTGTACTGTGAAGCTGTATTTTGATCCTGCTGAAGGTTATAAGAAATAGCGCAAGGTGATGCAAGTGTCTGGAGGCAAATTTTAACTCCTGTTTTTAGGCAGTGCCATTTCTTCCCATTCTTAGTGCTGAGAGCATGTAAACCCTGTTGTTCCATCTGACCAGTGTGTTTTCCCCTTAACTGCAACATCTGAGCATTTTTCAGTACTTGCAATCCATCATTTGGCCACAGGAGGGCATATTTATACAACCTTTAACTAAGGAAACATTTTTCTCACCATAAATAAAAAACCTTAACCTTTGCTTTTCAGAAATACCAGCATGGGCCTTACAAAATATTGAGGTCATATTAAGGAACATTTTCCCAGGCTGGATTACTTTTTTTCAGACATGCTCCACTGGTTTGCCAGCGTGTTTCATCAATGTCTAATTCCTCCAAATGAAAGAAATCAAAATTCCTCACAGGAGGAGACGAGGTGAGTAAAACCCAGCCTGCGTGTTTCTTTTATGACTTTTCCCCAAGTAAAAAATGGGGGGAAACACTACATAAACAGAAAACAACCCCTCAGAAACAATTTCTCTAAGAGTACTACAATCATAAAACACATTTATAAAATGCTTGATGCGTTTTCTGTAGAAATGTCAATATATTATTTGAAGCGTGTCTTAAAGTTTCAATTTACATTTCCCCCTGTGTGCCCTGACAACAAAAGCCCCCACTAAATAGAATACTTCACCAGACAGAAAATCATTCCCTATAGAAGCTAGAAAAATTGCACCAATTATCCATCTGATGGGAGCAGGGTGCCAGGTCAAACATTGCTGGAAATAACGACTTCTAGTCTAAAATCCCTGCCTTTAAAACCTGACATTTTGGAATAGGATTGCACTTAGTTACT